TGCTTAGATCGCCCATGACCACCCAAAAAATACCACCCTTCGTACTTTACGACGTGGCTTAACTTATATATATATACAAAAATTCATCCAACGGCAGGTCCACATCAAACTGCTGACTCCACAGAACCCAGGCACCGGCCAAGCAATACCAAAAGTTCAGCGCCAGTTGGGCAGGGGATATACCATGGTAATGACAAAAGTCTTTCACGAAGGGATAAATTGGCAAAGTCATCCCTGCGGTAAAGGCCCGGGTGTATACTAGAAGAAACCCAGGAGGAGGAAGGCTGGACCTAAAGTTTATATCCGGGAGAAGGTAGTCAAACCATCTCCCATCTACGTGCCTGTCTTGGAATGCCCGAACGATGTCTCTATTCCGAGTCCTTGGCGTTGTCACATTGGCAGTAAATGAAGGCCAGTCAGGGTCTCCGCTCATATCGGCCAAAGGGGCATCCACAATGGAGGCCGTGAATCCATGCATTTTCCCCCCTTCCAGGTAACCTTCGCCGTTGTCATCTCCCTCGACGAAAATGTCGACGCTGTCGACTTTTCTTGCTTCTGTCGTGTAGTTCTCAACTTCCCTCAGGATGGAGTCGTCGTCTGTTGAAGAAAACATCCATGAGGCCTCAACGACAGAAGGAGAGTCTGGCCTTACGATAGATGAAGAGGGGCTCTCTCGATGGTTAGATGGTTTAAGAGTTATTGTTATGGTATAACAAAAAAAAAGGATGATTTGATGAGCTACGTTAAAAGCCTGAGTCGAGAGGGAAAGGATAAGCAACGACAACAATGATCGTTTAGGGCCCAGGTTTCCCAACCAATCACCCCAAATCTGAAACCTCACTCTCTGCAATCGACCAGAAAGCAAAAAGCTAGCCTATAAGGGTTCAGATGTACGTAAAGTAAGTCTCTAACCTTCTGAATGTCTACTTCAAGCCTAAAAGCATGTAATGATTCGGCAAAAACCAAGAGGGAAAAACAGAATTCACACAAATACACAAACACAGTTATGATAGAGGGACAGGAATTTGAGAAATGGCAGAATCTGGAACTTGACTTAAGAGAATTTTGCGAAACACCAAAGGGAACGAGAGAGATGGGATATGGAGGATTTTGAAAAAATTTGGGCAGAGTAACTGCAGTTCTCAGAGGTTTGGATAGAAATGGTCTCAGTTTGAAGCAGACTTTTAAATGAAATCGAACCCTCAACCCCTGACCGTTGGATAGAATCCTAGTGAATCTAATGGCAGGGGCAACCGGTCAAGATCGAACGGTAGTGACAAAGGTGGGAATCTAAAGAAACATGATCAAACGGCTCAGATTAATCTATTTAAATAAAGGCACATGTCAGCGTGGCGACGAAACTGACGCGATGATTGCACTTTTTGAGGGATTTCAAAGCACCATAGCCATCATTCTAAGGGAGGCTCGGAGTTAGGCTCCCACACCCAAAGCAGACTAAAGAAGCGCCAGAGCAAATCCCAGCCTAGCTCGAGGCAACCCAAAGAAAAACCTCAACCTTGGGGGTAGCTGTTGTGTGGGAAAATATGCACTGACACGTTGGACAATGGTCATGCCCCACGTGGCCCCATGCTTGCCACGTCAGGTAACTGTCGACGCCTAAAACTCATTTCCCCCCCATATGGTGGGGGGGGGGGGGGGGGGGGTTAAGAGACCGTCGACCCTACATACAGTCGAGGCCTGCGTGATTTGTTCGTAGCAGTACCGTGATAGGGTTGACCGAGAGAGAGGCCACGCCTTGCAAAGTATAGCATAGGCGCAGAGGGCAAAACGCAAGCAACTGGGTCTGTATCCTAAGGAAAATCTCTGAGGTGACAAGCTGGAGATCTTTAGGTTACGTCTGGGTTTGGAGAAGGTCAGTTGCACAAAGAATGATTACAAGTCCCTAAACCGCCTGGAACGAACCAATAGAAATTACAGAGGATCTGCAGAGTCGTAATGAGGGACAAATTGGATGAGTGAACAGTCCAAAAGGCGTTGACAGGCTACGGTCTAGGCAAATGGGATAGTAGGCCACTTGAGAGGAACCGTAAAAAAGCCCCAAAAGCAGCCCATCCAAAGATGATGTTCATGGGTAATCTGTAAGCTATAAAAGGGGCAAAGCCCCAGAGAGAAGGGGGGGGGGGGGGGGGGGGGCGGGGGGGGAGGGGGGGGGGGGGGGGGGGGGGGGGATTGTTCATGTAACCCGAGAAGAACAAAAGAGAAATAGAATATGCAGTGGATGTAGCTCTTTCTTATGGAGTGAACCACTATAAATTTGTGTGTCCCTCTACTTCCATTCAAGCACCATATTAATACTTCTCGCCATATACCTCTAACACGAGCAGCTACAAAAATCCAAATATATAACAACTTTAGGCCGATAACCCAACGGAACACCGAGAGGTAACCCGGTGTAATCTTATTGATGAAATTCTACCGTCAACAAGCAAAGAAATAAAAATCAACCAATTTAATCATTAACTAACAACAGGTGTAACAGAGCAAGTTAACCACCGAAATGCATTACCAATAGTAAAGAAACACAAAACCAAGTAACAAAACTAAGTAACGTGATAAGATTACGAGAAAATAAAAATGACGTGATACTGCATAAATATACAACACGATAAGATTACATGGACTACTGTTATCTATTACATTTGATCGTGACACTCATATTAATGCAAGGTATTGGCAAAGTTTCTAAGAAGCCATGGGAACATAATTGAATTTCAGTATGACTTTTCATCCTTAGACTGACGGGCAATCTGAAAGAATTATTCAGATTCTGGAGGATATGTTTCGTGCTTGTATTCTGGACTTTGGTGGAAACTGGAATAAATATCTTCACCTTGCTGAGTTCACTTACAACAACAACTATCAGGCCAGTGTCAACCCTAAGCTTTAAAGATTTAGAAAATCAACCAAGCCAAGGAAATTTTCATGACAACAAGATGTATTCATCAATTTCTTTTCAAAAATCACAATTTAAACATAAATGAAAAGGAGAAATTCGGATTTAAACCAAATAGGAGGAAAAAGTGAAAAACCCTACCTCAAAAATAGAAGCTCCTTCCTCAAAATTTCCTTAGGGGTTTGCATCTCGATGTCGTCCTCGACGTTTTGAAGCGGTGGTGTCGACCACCACCCCCGGAAGTGGCAGCGACGTGGGCGGCGGCGGAGAGCCAGTGAGCTACCGGGCATGACCGATTTCCATATTCAATATGGATGTCATCTCGTTCTCCTCTTCGCCATGAACTCATAGAAACAATAATCACTCAATTCTGATTAAGAACGAGTGAGTTATGGAGTTTTGAAATTGAAGAAAGTTTTTTGGAAAGATGAGAGAGAGTTCGGGTAGAGGAGAGAGAGAACGAGAATAAGAGAAGTGAGCTTGGACTTTCTGTGCAGAAAGAGGAATGGGAGAAAATATCGGGAAAGGAAAAGAAAAAGAAGAAAAGGAAGAAAAAGGAAAAGAAAAAGGCAAAAAGAGAAAAAGAGAAATGAGCTTGGACTTTATGTGCAGATCTACTAATTAGACTTTGAAGCTGAGTCTAACTAAAATCTGAAGTGACTTATCATTCCTGTTTTGAAAAATTAGCTACTGACACTTTAAAACTATTCGGGGGAAATAGCAGCGTCAATTCTAAAACAATCCTTTTTAAAGGAGAAAAATCATTTACGTGATAATTATAATTGAGAATCTTTTACTAATCTTAAATTAAATAACACTAATTATCGAATTAGATTAATTAATCTCAATTAATTTAACCGGGTGTTACAAAATCTATCAATTCACACGGAGCTACATGTCGAGATCATTTTTCTTATTTTTTAATCATTTTTGTATTCTATTGATTGTTTATTTTGTAATATGTTAATTTGATATATTTACATAATCTGATGGTTTATTTTTGTTTTTGTGTATTTTGGAAAAATACTCTACCTCTAGTACATCATCAAACGTAATCCACTAGATTACTCTCCGGTGATGTTGGTGTCAAGACGATTGAAGATGGCAGACCCTTTTTTAATTTGTCAAATAAGATTAAAAAAATAATCCATTAGATTACATTCCGGCAATTGATGTTCGTTTTTTTTTTTTTTAAATTGAAAATAAAAAAAATAATATAGATTATTATAACAATCGACCGTATACTCTCCTTGGAGACGGAGACGGCCGACCATTAATAATTCAAAGTAAAAAAAAAAAAAAAAAACACCTATTCTAGTAAATTATGAGATCGTGACGGTGAGTGATCAAGATGTTGAAAACACCTATTCTTTTTGCCACTCATCACTATCTGATGTTCGATCAAGATGATTAAGGAAATAGAGATAGAGAAGAAAAGAAAAATTGATGGAGAAATAGAAGAAGAGGGAGGTAAGAGAGAACATGGGAGAGAAAATATTTGTCAATTAATCATTGCTGAAAAATGCAAATATAATATCTATGTGTAGACTCGTAAAATCTAATTTTAAGTTAAATATAACCAAATAATCATTAATAATCCTAAGAGATAAACAAAACCATAGAATATTCAAATATTTTAAATTATCCTAATAGATAAATATATAATTCAAACTTCTTATTTTGTTCCCACTACCATCTCTAATAAAATTACTCTCAAGCTATAGATATTAGATTTCCCTAAAATTCTCCTTTATCAAAGTTTAGCATTAGCAAACGAGAAATGCAGCTAAGCAGCCAATGGCTGAAACAAGCCTCTCAGTCCCAACAATTAATTTATTTTGGGCGATAAAAATACGCCATTAATTAGAGTTCTCTTCTCTCTAAAGAAAATGGAAATGGTGCTTCTTAATTTTATCACTTTTTCATTGAAGTGCAATCCTGTATTTTCAGTTTTTTGGGGAGGCTGAATTAAGTACACCTTAAAATATTGTCACCCCATTGCCATTGCCGATCCATGTAAAATGCAACATATAGATTTAAAGAATTATTATTAAGCTATAGTAAGGTAGATAAAATACATGCTTTTAACATCGTTGAGTACTTTATAAGCTTCATTTCGAAAACAACAACCGAGATTTGCTTTCTCTAGTATTAAGTTTGAAAGCAACAAGCAGTGCTTGTACAGTTCTTTAGCCATGGCTCTTACATTGAATTATTGAAGTATTTGATGAAGAAAGAGATAGTATAGGAACATCAAATGAAGGCTTATACTGGATATGATCAATAGAAGACAGTTACACAAAGGCAATCAACATCTTTTCGGGATGACAAGGTTGACTTCCGTTTGCCAACTTTCGCCTCCATCACCGTGTGCATAAGGGCATGGCCTAGGGTTGTCTTTGTCTCGAAGCAACCGGTTCCACTCTGCTTTCGAGTCTCGAGTTGAGAAAACAGTCCAACTACCAGTGGCATTCTCATACCTACTATGTGTGATGCGATTGAACTCCTTCACATCCCAATTCTTGTTTATATCATCGGGGTCAATATCGATGGTGAAGATATCTCCGTAAGGCCTCACGGAGTGCAAGAAGAGAGGTAAAGAGATGGGATCGACAGACACTCCAGCAAGATCGGATGTCACAACTATGCTCTTCCTGTCCGGACTAAAAAATGGATGGTTCACATGCCCTGTAAGATCACTCCCACTTCCCGTCACTCTTACGACCACTGATGGATCGTTCACCTTTACTAGATATATCGCAAAATATCCTGGATCAAGTCCGTTATCGCTTTTTGGTGCATCTTCAGGCTTATCGCGGGTTGACGAGAATACTATCCAGTCTCCCGTTGGCGACCATTGGCAATGTGTGTCAGTCCAAGACCCATTTGTTAGCCTTGTTATTTTGCCATGCCCATATTCCCCTACTTGTGCGTCCTCCATTATGTATAGATTCTTGTATCTTTTATCCCCTCTTGTAGATCGATAAACTAATTTTGTCCCTAATTAAATCCATAGTTCGTACAAATTAATGTAGCAAACTATAATATTATGTCTTTTGCAATGAAAACTATTATTGTCATGTTTGGTAGCATGTATTGTATAAGGTGTATTGTATTGTGTTGTATTGTCATAATACAATATAGTGTCTAGTGTCATGACGTATTGTACAATGGGTCTAAATGTAAAATTTTTAAAATTTTGGGCCAAAATGTAATTTTGAAAAAAAAATTTGGGTCACAATATAATTTTTAAAAATTTGGGGTTAAAATATAATTTTTTAAAATATTGAGAGGTGAAAATATAATTTTTAAAAAATATAAGGATCCCGACATACGTAAAAAATGAGTCGTATTCAATAATACGACATATACCGCATTAATTTACCATCCGTATTAACTTATAATATACGATGATCGCACCAAATATTATATTACCACCTATATTATTATATAATATGGTGCTTTAATACAGTCAAATAAACATACCCTATATGTTATGAACAATTAATCCTTAGTCGCAAACTCGCTAATGGATTGGTAAATAAATTCACTTATAAGGATTGAATCGAACTTGAAGTGGGACTCATCATTCAGTTGACAAACTATCTAAAATACTTACTGGATAAACTGAGTCCTCATTCTTTGTTAAGGATTATATGGACATTCTAATTTTATATTACCGACAGCAATAAAGTTATTAAAGAAAACCCAAAAAAGACCGCATAAAATGTATAGAGACTCATCTTAATGTATGACCATGTTCTCTTTTGGCCATGATATTATTTCTTATGATAAATAAGACTTAGAAAAGAGAGAAAACAGCAAGCCTTTCAACCGATCTCTGTATTTTCTATAACCCTCTAATTAATAATCTTACAACCCTCTAATTAATAATCTTACAACCCTCTAATTAATAATCTTAAAACCGGCGCTTTACCTTTTCTAAAGAAAACCTAGGGCGATAGTGTATTCCTTTACGGAAGGCAATAATCATCGTAATTAGACTCCACAATTTAACACTTTTGAACAACATATACATAAAGTGAAGTATATATGTGTGTCTAGGGCCCGTTCGTTTCGCTCATTCAAATTAAGATTTGAGTTTAAAAATAAATTTATATAAGAGAAAACATCGCACCAGAAAATGTTGAATTTAAATTTTTATGAGAAAAAAATACTATAACACGAGTCGTGATTCGAACGGTGAAATGAACGAAGCCATAGTACCATAGTGTCATAGTGCTCTATAATAATTGGTATTTGGAAATTAGGAAGCAGATGGAACAAGTAAAGGCGGTACCTTCTCGATTGGTGGATGGGAAGGCGCTATTGCATGAAAAGCCATTACTGGAAGGTCTTGTGAGGTCTATACGTTGCTGATTTCCACTCGTCACGTCGAGGATGGCGCATATCTGCAATTCTTTGTCAGCACTGAAAGAAGGTCCCACGCATACATACAGCGTATCTTTCTGTGGATCTTGGTTCCAAACTGGCGCAAACATGTTGTCATATTTCATCTGCATAAAGAAAGAAAATTAATGTCATCAACTATATATATATTCATACATGAATGATGAATACAATTGAGTTTCAATACAATATACAATAATTAGCCTTTGTTATATATACCGTGTAAACACGATTCGGTCCATTATTATCGACTACCCATAGAGATTTGAACTCATTGTCAACGAAGGCAAGCTTGGAGCCGTCGTTGGAAAATGTCGGAAACACTCCCGACACCCTAAACAGTCCTATATCCTGATGCGGAGAGCGGAGTTGGTGGAACCGTTTTGGTATATCGTCTTCACTCTGTCACAAAAAATCTTTTGAGAGTACTAACGTAGTTGGGATGCTATACATAATTCTTATCATTCATATAAAAAAAAAAAAAAAAAAAAAAAGCGCAAGCTACCAAACGAGTTTAAAGTGTTTCTTACCTTAAGGTGTTCGATCTTGCAACGGTGGTAACCGATGCGCTTATTCCCACCAATGTCTATCACAAAGGGGTTGAAATGGTCGGCCTTTGGCCTAATTTTTCGAGTGAGATGTATGGACTTTTGTGGTTGAGTCGAATCAAAAATCTCAATGTGTCGATATTGTGCTTCTTCAAGGAGGACATCAGTCAACTTCGATTTCTTACGAATAGTTGCGACTACTACTGTGGTGTCGTTGATGGCTGCCGGAGTTATCGCATCAATTCCCTTCGGTGTAACAAGAGAATATGTTAGACCATCACTAATATCAGCTTGGTACACGCCCCAAAACCCCTCATCCTTGCGGTGGAAAAATATTACATCCTCATCTCCCCATGTTGGCCACCCACCGTTCCTTATAACTAAATTCCGGTCAAAGGGCTCCTCTACATTCATCACAAAAATGTTAGTCTTTAGATCCTCGATCTCGCCATCCCATTGATGTTTCTTTCTTTCGAATGACGCCACCGCTATCTTCTTTCCACACGGTGACACGGAAGGGCTTAAATCAGCTTCCCCTGTTGATCGATGTGAAATTTATAAAATTAAATCAGCCCAATATATATCTCTATGTTTATGATTTTTCTCGAGTAAACTGAAAAGAGAGAATAGCTGATATCAAGTGCAACTAGCGACGGGATTCTCTACCATATTCCGGAATCAAAACTATATTAAGTAAAAGAAAAATACAAATTTATTGTATATGAAAAGAAGAATCCAGATCAAATTCATGATCAAAAGAAATCGTTAAAAAAAAAAAAAAACTAAGGAAGGAATTAGCTGGGAACCTAATGGGGTGAGGCGGTCGGTTTTCCCGGTCTTAAGATTGGTTCTATAAACGGCAGTCCAGGGCTGACGACGACGAACGGCGGGTTCCTTAGTGGAGACATAGATGAGATAATCACCGGCGAAGCAACCGCTGTCTTCCATACGAACACCATTGAAGGATCTTGTGCCGAAAACATCGGCCAAACTGAAGACTTTCGGCACTGTGTCATCATTGAAGCGGAGAGCTATGTGAAGCGTTTCAAGGTTGTCTCGTTCGGAGACAAAAATCAAGCCGGAGAGATGACCGGAATCCACATCGGCCGCTTTGTAAATGCGCTGCGAAGCCAATTCTGGACGCTTGAGGATTGTCTTCAGAGCCGCGGGTGGGATGACTTTGGCGTTGTAATTGTAAGATTTTCCGTCAGTCATGTGAACCTCATGACCTTGATGATTCGATGTCGTCTGTGGAAGCTCCTGTGGGCAAGAGAATATGTCGAGCGCAACCGGTGGCCGATAGGTTGCGAAGAAGGCAATGCTTCCTCTCTTCTCTGCCATGATTTGATCTACGATTTCGTTCTTTATCAGCTGGTTAGCATAAAAGACTCCACTTTTAGATGTATATCAAAGGTCGTGGAGATGTACAGTGAGTCAACTCTCTCTCTCTCTCTATTTATTTATTTATTTATTTATTTTTTGCATATTGGTGTGAGAATTATGTAATTGAAAGAGGATGGAAAATTGGTTTGAGGCATGTGATCGCGTTTGATATAATAATGTCTTTGAGCTATCTTGGCAGCAATCCCAAGCCTTAGATAAAAGTAGAGTTAATTTATTGTCATTAGTGATAAAGACACGTGCCAAGTTGGCCTAGAAACGACAAGAGAGTTCGGTATGAGAATAGAATAGAAGCAAGAGATGAAATGGTTAATCCTGCAAATGATCGATGGGATTTACCCACAATTCGTATTGATATATAACTTTTTAAATGTCTCAAATTGGTCTCTAATATATTAATTTATTTTAATTTTGATTTTTTGTTAGTCAATTATTGAATATTTAATAGAATCGATAGAAATTAAAGACTAAAATTAAAAAAATTTAAAGTTCATGGATTAAAATAATAGAAAAACGAAATCTTATTTCCATGGAAGACGTGGTAGGAGGATTTATTGCTTTGCCTAAGGCCTGGGTCGACCTTAGGACTTTGAGTAAAATCAGCAAAGCACTTAGAGACAAGCAACAATCTGGAAAAAGAAAAGCTGTTACGGACGAACCTGCCGGGCTAAAAAAAAGGAAAAAAATGGAGCAAAACCAACCGGGAAAAGGAGACAGCGGCGGCAGACGAAGTAACACAACTAATTCCAGATGAGTTACAAGGATTACCTGTAGACTTGAAGACACTCGTGATATACGCATGACAATCCAAGGACAGCAAAGGCACGATCGAGATTCACATGCTATATGACATTATGCGCGTGGGTGTTGTCCCAAGAGGACTACTCAAGAGGGAAAGGGGAGGGGGTGAGTTGACTAACAAAAAAAAATTAAAACAATTTTAAAAATATTGAACAAGATAAAAAAAAAAAAAAAAAAAAAAGAAAGCAAAATAAATATGCAAGGACTATAGTAAAGCCAAGAGCTACGATTTATTTATTTAAAAAAAAAAAAATTTTAAAAAAATTAAAAAAAAAAAAAAAAAAAAAAAAAAAAAAATGAAAGCAAAATAAATATGCAAGGACTATAGTAAAGCCAAGAGCTACGATTTATTTATTTATTTTTTTTATAGTGGTTCAACTAAAAAGTATACGTCTACTGTTACCGAGATATCCAATCCGGTCTTTTCACTATAAAGTCGTTTACGATGGCATGACTACTCCAATTACAAGTTTGGTCGATTCCTCCTGCAGGCTCACCACACCTTTGCAAACGGTGAGCTTTAACTTGGGATGCCGGCAATCCACTATAATGCCAATTAAGAACATTGGCTAACCAAGAGACGTGTGTTTGAAAGAATACACAAAAAATAAAAATAAAAACAGAGAAACTCTTTCTTAAAAAGGATGATTACAATTCAGAACCTAATAGAGTAATGATCACTCAAGAAGATGAAAAATATTTTGCCTCAAGTGATTTTTCAAAGGAAATCTTAAAGGGAACAATTTGAGAGCAAGGAAACACTGTAAGAATTGTACTCAGTTGTGTCTTTGAGAAGAGTGCAAATGCCTCGTATTTATACCGAAAATTATCTCAAAATTTGTTTCAAAATGACTATAAAAATTTAATGCTGATACGAAGATGGAAGTCCGCTGAACACTGATAGATGCCCGTTGAAAATTGATATTTAAAATAGCCTTTTAAAAAATCTGCCTGTTACAAGGCAAAGAATGTCCGTTAAAAAGCCGGTGGACATCCATCGTTATTTGGCTGACGTCCAATGAAGAAAGGACGAATATTCATCAAAGGTCTAAAACAGACCATATTCAATTCAGACGTCTGTGGGAAAATCAATCGGATGTCCTCAAATGCGCTAACAAACCTTTTTCTTTTAAAAACCCTGTTCATCTTTGTACAAGATAAAATTTGTTCAAATATTTTTGAAACAAACCAAGATGATACAGTATATATATATATATTCACTTCAAAGAAAATCAAAGTGTGCATGTGTGTCTGTGTGTGAATATGTTTGAGGCAAAAATATTATGTTTATCATATGAATAAATCAAAGATACTCGTTACAAAATCTCTAAACACACCATGTTATTCTTCAACCAACTTCATGTAATCGTCAAAATATCCAATTTGAGCAAAAAGGAGCTTGAATAATTTTTCCTTCACTATTCTTGAGACTTAAAAATAATTCTATATAATTCACAAACTCACGAATTTATTAGAAACTTGCAATTAATTATTTGTTATCATCAAACCATAAATACGGAGCCAACAATCTCTCCTATTTAATGATGACAAACAATTGATTGTTACAGATAATATTACAAGAAGGAAATGTAAGATAAATAATAAAAATGAGAGATACAAAAATGTTTAACCATTTGTGAGCTTCTCCCCCTGTTTTCATCGCAATGGTTCACCAAAAACTACCGCTTGCTAAGAGGATAGAAGAAGTATCATAAGTATGGAATGTAGCAATCCATGTATTCTCCCCCCTTTTCTTATCAATAAAAAAGGGTCAAATAAATTGCATTTTTCATATCATCAAAACGGAGCCAAATTGGAGGTGTTAATTGGGCTGGGCCAACCATATACGGCCCGGCCTAGTCTGCTACAATGGTCAATTCGACATGGCCCGGCCCTGTACTGTTATGGGCCGGGCCGGGCCGGCACGCCAAAAGGACCTAGGCTGGGCCTTATGTTTGAGGCCCGCAGCCTAGGCACAAGCCCAAGCACGGCCTAGGCCCGCCAAGACCTAGGCACATGAAGGGCCAGGCATGGCCCGCAAAGGCCCAGGCTCGCAACATGAAATTTAAATGTGGTTTGAGGTATTTTAGGGTCAAAAGGCTGACCTATGTCGTCCGGTCAACCAACTATTTTCTTGTAATTATTCATATTATTTTAATAAAATCACATTTTTTGGGGCATATGATATTACTTTTTTTTGTCATCAATTTGAAATTATAAAAAAAATCCTAAAAAAATTGTTAATCATAAGTGAAACTCAAGTGTATTATGAAAATTAGGTTAAGATTGAGTTTTAAGGAGAATCCAGTGTAATTCGATCGTCAGGTAGCAGAGAAGTTGTAAGCCACTGGTCGACCGCCCCGGTCGACCGGCGGTCGACTGGTGCCTGCTCAATGGCTATAAATTAGACATTTAAACAGGGCCTTTAGTAAGGCCGGCCTAATAAAGTTGTAACATCCGATAAAATTAATTAGGATTAATTAGTGTAATCTGATTGTTAAGATTAATTAATTTGAGATTAATAAAAAAATTTTAGTTAAAATTATCACGTAAAAAATTTTTCTCCTTAAAAAAAAAAGAGCATTAAAATTAATACTACTGTTAAAGTATCAATAACTAATTTTTTAAAACAAAAATAATGAGTCATTTCATATTTTAATTAAATATAACCTTAAATTCTAAATAATAAATTTGTTCAGAAAATTCAAGCCCTTTTCTCAATTCTTACTTTTTCCTTTTCCTTTTTTTTTTTTCTTTTTTCTTTCCTTTTTCTTCCCTTCCACGGATATTTTCCCCTCACTCCCTCTCATTCTCATTTTCTCTCTCCTCTACCCGAACTCTCTCTCTTCTTTTCTAAAAATTTTTCTTCAATTTCAAAACTCCATAACTCACTCATTCTTAATCGGAATTGAGTGATTCTTGTTCCTATGAGTTCACAACGAAGAGAGGAATGAGATGATATCCATATTGCTCATGGAAATTCGCCATGCCCGGTAGCTCTCCGGATCTCCGCCGCCGTCCGCTCCGTGAGCCGCCATCTCCGGCGGTGGAGGTTGACATCACTTGCATCAAAATGTTGAGGACGACGTCGGGATGCTAAGCCCTCAAGAAATTTTAAGGAAAGAGCTTCTATGTCTGAGGTAAGGTTTTTCCTCTTTCCTCATTCTTGGTTTAAATCTAGATTTTTGCTCTTGTTTATGTTCTAAATTAGAGATTATGGAAGGATATTGCTGAATAATCATTGAGATCATGGGATTCCTTTGGAACTGGTTGAATTCCTAAAATTTAGAGGATGAAATTCTAGAATTTAATTTACTTGATGGTTTATGGGTTAAACCTGAGTTTTGATGAAATATAGGGAAAACTATGTGGGTTTAGATTTCAAAATCTTAATTTGGTATTTGGAAACTGGTTAAAGCGATTTTCATGGGTTATTTTGAAATCACAACTAGAAACCCAGGTTTTTGGTATTTTTCTCGCCAAGTCGGCGAGCTGATTCAACACTGAAGAACAACCCGATCGACCATTCCAGGTGACCGGAATAGGTACCACCGGTTGACTGGTGGAATTGTACTTCTCTGTCACCGATCGACCGGTGACAGCTAATTCCGCCCAATTCTTTTTTAAAAATCCGTTTTTAAGTCAAAGTTTACCATATTTCTCGAGTTTTAATCATGTCTAAGAATGAGAATGTATTTTTCATCCTTTTAAAAAGTGTTTCAAGGAATTTTGCCTTTTGGTGAAGAACTCGATTTTCTTGATAAGAGATTTTAAGAAGATTTTGGAAAAATCTATGAATAAATATATGTGGTGTAATCATTCATATATGAAAAACCTTCCGGACAACTTGATATTCGCGAATCATAGTTTACGGAACTGGAATTTCAGAAAAGAAAATATGTCTAGAATTAGAAATAAATTCGAGCATGGTGTACAAACATGTAGAGCTCGTGGCACTGTTCTGATAAGCAATTCACTCTTGAACACTGACTTGATGAGCAATTAGATACTTAGTGCGCTTGATTGCCTGAAGAGTAGGATATGGAGATCGTATCCTTGGCGGCAGGACTCAGAAACGCGTGCGGAGTGTATATTGGCTTAGCACAGATGTTAGACTTTATGCAAATACTATTAGAAAGCATTCCAATTACCGGTGTTTGACTTCTAGTCTTCTCCTATGAACTTCAAGTTCTAGGATGCTTTAGAATTTAAATGGAATTACAAGTACTTGGTACTTGTTGATTACATGAAGGATTAGATTCCTTGTACTGTTGGAAATGAA